AAATATTCAAACACAGGCAAAACATCTGTCTGACATCAGGTTGCTTTAAACTTGAATAATATCCTAATGTTTTATTCAAGGTTTTCATATCTATCACCGATTACCAAGACTCATGCCTGAAAGCTGCATCCTGATTGCCATTGGAGCACTGGTAGGAGCAATCATCTTTGCTTCGCATCACAAATCTCCCCCAGTGATGAACTCAAGTATTTACTTCTTGTATCTCCTTCCACCCATTATCCTGGAGGAGGGTTATTTCATGCCAACTCGCCCATTTTTTGAAAACTTTGGGTCCATTCTGTGGTGGTCTGTTATGGGATCTCTGCTAAACTCATTTGGGATTGGCCTCTCCCTCTATGGAGTCTGTCAGATCAAAGCCTTCGGCCTGACCGACGTGAACCTGCTGCAGAATCTGCTCTTTGGCAGCATGATTTCAGCGGTGGATCCTGTGGCAGCGCTGGTAGTTTTTGAAGAAGCCTCTGTTAACGAGCAGCTTTACATGATGATCTTCGGAGAGTCATTGCTAAATGATGGCATAACTGTGGTGAGTTTCTTTCTACTCCTTGTCTTCCCCTCTTTGGGGTCTTGTGGCTTGTAGGGTTATTGGGCACAGGACAAGAGCAGTTTTAAGGAGATTCTAGATACATTATTTATTTTATGGATACTCTACTCCATTACCCAAAAGGGATTTTAATGTATGTAAAAATTACATCTTATATGAACTCTTTCAAAAGCCTGTATTTTAGAGCTGCTGGAAGAGGGAAGCATATATATACACATGAGAACTCATCTTGCTCTTTCATTCACTGAAGAGAATGGGTGAGATACAGCTGATTTTCCTGGTAGGATCAGTGTAAGACCTAGGAATGGTCTTGACATTATGCATGGAAATACACAGAAAACTGTACTGCTTAGAGACTGAAGGAAGCAGGGGTAGAAATATGGGAGACCCTGCTTTGTCATATGTCTGAGAAAGCCCTCTGAAAAAAAAAAAAAGAAATCCAAATGTGGACAACCTCTGGAAGCCATACTCTATCCTCCAGCCCCTCCTAGGAAGTTCCTGAGAGACCTTAGAGAGCAATTCCAAATGTAATTAATAACACTGCGTAACTGTTTCTAACAGTAAAAAAATGGACATCTGACAAATGCTCACCTATTTTGGCAGCCTTATCTCAAGTATCCAGAAATAACGCTTCTAGAATAAGAGAGATTTTGGTTGGTTGGTTGTTTTTTGTTGTTGTTATTAGTTGTTGTTTTTCTCTTTTAATAGGAAAAGAATGCTTTTACAGAGCTTCTTTCGCTAACATTTTCCCCCATATCTCATTAGTTCTGCTAAAATTGGAGCAATCTGAAACTCTAGCTGTAAAGCAGAAGTGGTAAGAACACTTAGAACACACATGTTTTTCAAGGAAGAAATTTCAAGCAGGAAATTTATTGCTCAGAAACCAACAGCTCTGCTCCTGTGCTACAAGTTAATGGCAGGTTAAGGAGTTTCGTTAGATAAGATCTTTACAGAATTTAAATCACAGGAATCTAAGACACATAAAAACTATTCAGATACTGCTATACATGAGGTGCAGCACAACTTGGACTTGCAAAATCTGTATAAAGTTCACTGCTGAAAGGCATCATGGGAAAAGTGCAGTTTATGAGTGATGAGAAAAGGAAAAAGAAAAAAGTAATTACTTGCAGCCACAACCTATTGATCATAAATCCTTCCTCTTGTTGAATCAGAGATGTAAGGCTGATGTAGAACTAAGGGACAAATGTTACTTCATTTACATGCAAACTATCTATGTAGAAAAATCCAGGATGCATCTATCACTTACACTTATCTTTTTGGTTCCTTTAAGTGCAAACCTCAAAAAATTAATACCTCTTCTTTACTCTGAAAGAGCTTGTTTCATGCTCTTTTTTGACTGGCTCACTGCATTGCCTTTCCCTTTCTCCCAGCTGTTATTTACGTCCCAGCTCCAACTCCTGATGGTATTTACACGAGCTTTCAGTCAGGATCCTGTTACAGCAGAAATGTTTAAGGACAGAAGGCCTTTTAAGACAGTGGTATATAGGCACTCCTCAGCTTCAATACATGTGTTAGTAAAAGAGATGAAAGGGTTGTACATGGGGCATGCTGGCTACAACACTGTGAGTTCCCACTGCCCCCACACACTTATCTTTGGGACTCTTCTCACAGCAGCTGTTTTGCAAGCAGTTTGTCAGCTCCTGCTATTGCATCAACTACCACTCATCCATTTTCTGGGTATTTCAGTTTTCAAAATCTCTACCTGTCTTCATGCTTGAGAAGACTGAAGTACTTGTCACCTGAATGGAGTCCAATGGGTGGCTTTCTCCTCCCTGATATCCCATTTCCTTTAAAATAAAACTATTTATCTCAGGTGTCTTATCTTACCATTTCCTTCTTTTTCTCTCTTAACCATTTCATTTAACTCTATGTGTTTAAAAAAGATAATATCTCCAAGATATATTAAGCATACATATTTTTTTATTGTTTAAATACAAATATGCCCTGGTTCTCTCCAGTCTGCTTATCAGCTAGAACATTTTCTACCCAGCAGGAGAAACTGTATGAATTTTGTTGAACTTGTGTATTACATTTGAGGCAACAGTAGCTGTCTCCTATATTTAGTTCAATATCCTGGTATTAAAAAATCACAGATAGGGTAATTTGAATTATGATCTAGAAGTTATGCCTTTGACTTGAAGAGAGAAAGTGGAAAATTTACACTTTTTACCCATTGGTACTTTTTCCTATTCTCCACAGTAGGGCCATGTCTGTGGATGGAACAAGAAGGTTCCAAGTCCTGTTAATTGCACCCCATTGTTTCTGAGTGCATCAGAATAGCTCAGACAGCAACAGGACTGGTCTTAGCATATATCATACATTAGTGGAGTTTTAAAGCCCTGTTCAAAATAGTTATGTTGGTAAATCCAGTGCAGAGCTTATTCAAACCTGAACACAGGTGGAGCAAACTGATTTTGCTGGAAAATGTTTCAGGCAGCCGAAGCTCTGCTCCTGCATATACACAGATCATTTTGTTTCTCAACAGGGGCTGAGCACATGTATGCATCAGGAAGTGGAATATTCCCTGACTGCTTCATCTCTGAGGCTTGATTTTAGAAACACTGAGAACACCTATATATCATGCTGTACTCAAAATGAGTGCAAGTGACTATATTCTCTAATGGCACCGTTTCTTCTTTGTATGCAGCAGAACAGTTTAATCTAATACATGTTGAAGACCCAAGTAAAATTATTGAGGGAATCTGAATTTGCCCATCTGGTGTCACTGAGGAAGGCTTTGATAAGTGGGATGTATGGGTGCTAGGAAGGAGGATGGAGACAATCTCTGCTACTGGATGTTAAACTTGATCCACTGTGTATAGAGTACAACTAACTACAGCGGTCATTATGAATCATCAGGGTGGTAAGAAAAAGTTACCAAAACTGCCTGTGTTTGTGGTTAAGGCAGTCACCTGACACTTTTTTCCCCCAATGCTTCTGATGGGGATGGCGTGTGCAATAATTATATCTAGACAGCTGGAGCACAGAGCAGTCCCTGGGGAGTCCCCTGTGGGTGTCAGTGTTATGCTCTCTCCTTCTCTTCCTGGCTCTAAGAGCCTCCCAGTGGTACACCACCACACAGTAGCATCCTCTCCGAAAAGGCCCTTCTCAGAGTTGCTAAAGGACACCAACTATCAATCCACCCCTTCTTTTTGAGTGAATAAAAGCATCCTAAGCTGATTCAGGCTTTCCTACCGTGTAAAGAATGATAGTACTCCATTTACTGTCATAAACACTGCAATGTAACTTAGCTGAGGAGCACTTACATGGAGCCTTACTTGTATGACACAGCGCAGGTTGTTATACAGAACAGTTTATTCCCACAAAGCATGTTACAAAAAAAAAAAAAGGAAATTATGTCATATTTCCATAATTTCTATTTTGATGCCAACTCAGTTAAATAATACAGACACTTTAGGAACTAGAAAAGAGGGAAAAAACTTGAAAAGTCATTTGTTGAGGATAACTTGCTTTATTTGCAAGTCAGCATAGATTCATACCTTGGTATCATTTACAAAGAACCACTATTCTTAGGAATAGGTTAAAGTCTATAGGAAAGGGAGAACAGAGAGAAAACAGACTCTGTAATTAAAAGCTATATGGTAGGTTCAGTGAGGTTTGCTTACTGAGGAGAATGAAAACCCTTTTCCTTATCTCCCACTGAACAGTTGAATTTCATACACTGGCATTAGGAAAAACCAGTTCTTTGTATTTTCTCACATGAAATATTTTGTTCTGCTTTGTCTGTCCCCCAGAAATATTAGCAGTGAGCCTCCTGGAGAACAGGCTGTGTGACAGCCTCAAGGTCACATGTCCCCAGCAGCAATTTAAGATTAGATAGTAGCTGGGGAGTAATTATTATCCTAATGAACTTGACTCTTCTACCTGCAAATACCTGCTTTAATCTTCCTAATAACCTGCTGGAATTAACTAAATGAAGAAGAAAGACCAAAGAAAACCATAAAATGCAAATTATTTTGGTCTATTTTTTGTTTTTGAACTAATGCTTTGATGTAACAGCTTTGGAGAGCCGGTGTCTTTAGCTGTTTCCCAAATTCTCTTGAAAACTGAAAGGTGACTTTCATATGTTATGCACTCACTGTAAACAGACCTGACAGGACTTAATATTAACCAATTGTCAACAACCTCTAGGACCTTTTTATTACTACACCACTTATTACTATGGAAACTTTCTATTAGTTTCTAAAAGGTGAATGGAAGTGGAATATGCTGAAAATTTTCATCACCCATTTATTGATAATAGAAGCATGATAAAGTTTTCTGCTCTCAAAGAAATTATCTTTACAGACCAAATTATATAACACGGTATATAAAAATTATAAATTGCAGTAAATTCAACCTTTCTTCTAATCTGATATTATTTTCCTTTAAATTTTGTAATTTCAAGCTTTCTAGCCAAAATGTACATGTGTGAAGGGTCTTTAGGCCATTTAGAGTGCCACAGTTTTTGTTTCTTACTTTGAAATTGTTCCCTCGGGAGGAGGTTAAGTGGCATCAAACCCATATATATATATGAGGATAGAGAAACTTCATTTATCTAGCTGGAGAGAATATGAAATTGAGGCTATCATTTTCCCTTCCCTTCCCTTCCCTTCCCTTCCCTTCCCTTC